ATGGGGACATCGTCCACTTAGGATGTCTCTGAGTTCCACCCTGGTGTTCCATGTCCCCAGAAGGCAAAGGACAACAGATCCAAGTGAGCTGATGTCGAGAACTCTTTTCCCCAGCATGTTATCTCTGCAAAACCAACCCTTCCACTCAGCAGTGGAGGGTGAGACAGAATCTTGGCCCTCAGATCCTCACTATTAAACTATGGAAGTTGGGCCTGCCTTGGGGCAGGGGTGGGGGGGGAGGCTTGGAGGCACAGGACCTACAGCTCGGCCCAGACTCAGAAAGGCCAGACTTTCTGTGACACAGAGGACGCAGGCCCCCGCCTCCGGGGGGAGAAGAGAGGCAAGCTGCAAAGACATTTGTTTCCTCTGCTGCCAGATCACTCACAGCATGGAAGCCTGGCCCTTCCGGGAGAGATGCCTGGAGTCAGAAGTCAACTGGAAAGGCAGAAAGTAGAGAGAAGAAAAGGCAACCTCCAGCTCTCTGGCAGTCATTTTCAACAGCAGTGATTTTTGTGAAGTTACCAATGGCAGTTTCAGACTGGACCCAACCCAAGGACAGTGCCATCACCGAGGGGAGGTCCCTGACTCCTGCTCCAGGGGCCCCCAGGGGCAAAGAAACACCCTCAGCTTTCTCCTGTCTTAGCACCCGCATGTTCCCATGGACCCTCGGGCCCAAGCCCTGAGGCCAGGTTTCTGCTGTGCCTCCCCTCCCCATCCCTTCACTCGGTTGTGATTTCCTTTGATTGGTTTACTTGTTGGTTTCTCCCTCCATGGTGAGCTTCCTGAGAGTAGGCACACATAGTACCACCCCAGGGCTGGGACAGAGCTCCGCCCATGGTAGACCCACTGGGTCCCGTGGTACACCCACAAGATGTGTTTGTCAACTGACTGGCACGGGGGCTCAGTGGGCTGCCAGGTAAACCCTCTTTACCCACCCGGGATCCAGCAGTTTGTTTTGGGGACCACAGAGTCAGTGAGGCTGCCCTCCCCATCCCCCCACCGGGCAGGGAAGGACACGGAGCTGAGGCCTTCAGAAACGGCAGGTATGGCCTGCCTTGGCCTTGGCTTCTGAGGTTTCCTCAGCACTCCCATCTGGAGGCACTCCAGAGAAACTGAGTCACAGGCTCCAAGAGTTAGGAGGGAGAGTTAGGACATGGTGAAGCTGGCCTGCATTCACTGTGGGCATCCCGTGTTGTGTCTGAAGGACACCTGAGGACAGTGTCAGCCTGAGAGCATTCATGCCCTTCAAACAGGGCTTTGGGTGGAAGCATCTTCATGGCCCACAGGTCTGAGAAGTCCCCCTCCAGGGGCATTGTGGGAGCCCCTAGAACTCAGGTCTCCGTGCAGAATGATGTCTTCTTGACATTCCAAAGGAAAAGTCAGAAGTGTTGGTGAGCCCTTTCCAAATTTGGCTTCCAAAAGCTACTGAAGAAGGTACTTTTCGTAGTGGAGTATTGAACAAAGCAGCCCACATGCTGGAGCTCCTTAACCTTTGAGCCTCTTAACACAGAGCTGCGTGTCCTCTGCTACCTGCAGGCTGCTCTGTGCGTGGCGCTCAGGGGCACATCTGCTGGGGAGGAGGCAGGAGAGCCCCAATGCTGGAAAAAGAAACCCCCACACACAGCCCTTTTTTCTCCTCCTCCACCCCTCCTTCACCAGCCCCCACTTTGTCCCTTCCCTCCCTCCCTCTCCCTTTCTCTCCCTTCCCCACTTCCCTCCCTAGACTCCATCCCTCATCTGTCAGAGCTATTTGTTTGGAAGTCCTTCCCAGTCAGAACACACTCCTCCTGGGGATCATGGGCCAAGTAATTTCAGGCTGAATCTGCCTGAAGCCCAGGAAGCCAGTGTGGGCATCCATGTGGGAGTCTTGCCAACCCTTTGCCTCTGTCCCATCCCCATCCAATTAACGTGTCTGTGGGCCTTATGAAGGGGTTGAATCTGTCATGAAACCATTCATGGGCTGCAGTGGAGAGAGGGCCCATCAGGTGCTTGCTCGGGGGCTCACAAGAGACCCCCACTCGCGGTGGCTGAAGGCTGAGGCCCGCAGGGCGGCCTGGCCTCCTGGGTAGCTATGTGTCGGGTTCTGCTGTGTTGGGAGGCAGTGGGGGGTTCGGGCCACCCTTGCACCTGTCTCTCCCACCTATGCCTAGCAGACTCGGATGGAGCGCTACACCTCAGGTGAGCCCCAGAGCTTCATTGGCCTTAGCATGAAGCCTAGAAAAGCAGTTCCAGGACTTCCTGGACCACCATTCTGGCTGAGGCCTCTCTGAGGGTGGCACCTTGGCCGGATGGAAGGAGGAGCCTAGGCCCACGTTCTTTGGGAGACTTCCTTCCTTCCGGGGACAACATGGGGAAGCACACCTAGGCTCCCAGAGGGCCCACCTACCACTGCCCCCTCGGTGTCACCTTTACAGCAATCCCGAGTGCCATGACAACCACCCGCAGTCCTAGGAAAAGCAGTGCTTGGCTAAGCTCCTCTCTGATCATCCTTCAGAGTGTCCGTCACTAAGCAGCCACTTTCAGCCATCACTTCCTCCAGGTCACTGAAAACATTTGTCATTTCCTGTTTTCTCCATGTTCCAACGATCCTAATTGTCAGTGTCAAAAGGCAACAACTGTTTTCTTGGGGCTTATCTTCGGAGCGCACTGGCTGAGAACAAAGGATGGGGCCTCTGTCTGCAAACAAAGGAAGCCGCCTCCTGGGGGCTGGGCGGGGAGCAGCGGGCTGGCAGTGTCCCCCCATGCCCCAGTGGCATGAAGAGCTTTCTGCCTGACAGCAACACCCCAGGATGGCCAGCATCAGCCCTTCTGTCTGGACTTGGAGTTTCTGTGGCCCCCACCAGACTTTGCCTTCAACTCTGGATGTTCCGGATTGTTCTGCTTCCTTGGATGAACGCTGGCCAACATCCCGCTGTCCTTATAACCCTGGACCCTTCAAGAAGCATTTTCTGTCATCTGGCAGACACTGCCCACTTCCTCCACTCTGACCCCTGCCCCAGCCTCGCCTTCACTCTGGTTTCCCAGGCCCTGGGGGTGTCTTCCTCTCTATCTCCTTCCCTTTGGACTCTTGGGCCCATCGTCGTCATTCCCTGCTTTTTCTTGCGTCGCCCTCTGTAGCCACCACCTGCCCCTCTCCCAACCTGTACAACTGTGTCATTTGGTGAACATAATGGAGCATTCAGTGGGGATGGAGTTAGAGTTGGTGTAGACAGAATTAGAGCTGGTGTAGACAGAGGGCCCAGGAGCCGGTCCTGGAAGCAGCAGGCTAGAGAGATGGAAGCACTGGACCTGCAGTTAGGAGACACTGCACTTAGCCAGCCGTGTTGCCTGGAGCATGTCACTGACCCTCTGTGAGCCTCAGCTGTCACATCAGTAAGCTGGGGCCATAGATCTTCTGCCCAGGTCTCCTGGCGCAGTAGGAGGGTGACTGGGCAGACCAGAGGTGAGAGCTGCCTTCAGAAATGCCTGCCTACCCTAAGCATCTCAGGCAGAGCCCAGCACCCCCCACCCCCCATCTCCCCCACTTCCCAGCGGCATGGCCTTGGCGTTCTTATGACCCCTGTGATCCTTGAGTCCTGCCCCCCCGCCCCCAACAGCATGCTTTAGCAGGAAGAGGGCCGCCCCAGGGGAAGGGAGGCAAGAGCTTGGACAGGAAGCAAGCTAAGGGCAGGATGCTGAAATCACTCGCCGTGTAGTCCGCCCACTACCACGTGTTTGTGTTCATTCTCTGGCTTGGCAGGAACTGAGACCAGGAACTGCCGCCAGACCTGGGAGCCAGGCACTCTCCCAAGCGCCGGCCCTCTGGCTCAACCCCTTCCCACGCCAGCCATCCAAGAGCGGAGAAGCAGGCCACTCGGGCAGCCTGTGTTGTCCGGTCAAGTCTTCTGGCATCTGCTGGGGTGTGGTGGACACAGTTCCGAAGTAAACTCAGGGAGATGTGCTCCCTGATGGGGCTGCCTTGGATGTTGGCACATGGAGGAGCAGAAAAGGGGAGAGAAATAGCAGCGGGTGAGCAGTGGACTGCAAGTCATACCCAGGGCCCAGCCACAGCTTGGCATCAATGGGCTGAGGGTCTTGGGGCAAGTTATGCCTTCTGCAGGCCCTCAGCTGGCTCTTTGGTGGCAGGCCTCTCTAGGCGCTTCCATACTTGGGGCTGGGACTGCAGCCCTGAAGCTTGGCTCCTCTCTGTGTCCACCCAGCTTGGAGATGGAGATCGGAAGCCCGTTCCCATCACCCATGCTGCAGCCCATCAGGAAGGCGAAGGGAAGCTGGGAATGAGTGACTACTCCGGGTGTTGAGCAATGCATCGATCTGACCAAGTGATCACCCCTGCTCTTCATGCCGGGACCACCCAGAACGAGCCTTGGCCCTTTTCCCCATGACAGCCCAGGCACCCACCACCACATAGCCCAGAGGCTGCTCTGCCCCACCCCTGACATCCCCAGTTGGTTCAGCCATTCTTTGCCCACGTGCTTGGGAGCCCAAGCCCCATTGCTTAGTATCCTCTGGGTGCGGCCAGTTTGGGTCTCCCTGAGAGTGGCTTGCCCAAACTCTTGTCAGCACTGCAGACATGGTCTGGCCAAGGCAGAGGAGTGTAGGACTGTCACCTCCCTCCTTCTACATACTCTGCTTCTGTTAATGCAGCCTAATGTCACATTTGCTCCTTTGGTGACTACATCTCACTGCCGCCCCATCCCGAGCAGAAGGACATTGAGAATGCCTAAACCTTTTCTCTCCGTGCTCTTGCTGTTTAGCTCTGTGTCTCTGCCCCATCCTATGCTGCCGCAATTGGTTTTTAACTCAGGTGCCGAATCCTACTTGTATCCATGCCCGTGGAGTTTTGCTTGGGAGGGTGGGGCATGCATGCGAGTGTGTGTTGGTGTGTTCACTCATGCTTTCTGCTACACCAAAGCCACGTCCTGAGTCCCCACACAGTGACACCAAGGCTAGAACAACTTGGTAGCCTGAATCTAACACTTCTTTTTTCATCTTCTACTTAGCAAGAGAAGCAGAGATCAGGTCTTATGGCAATGACCCCTGAACAGCGCAGTTCACGTATCACCCAACGGATGAGTCAATTTCAAGGTAAACAGTTAAAAGTCCATGTTCTCAAAGGGGTGAGTGGTGGAGACTGCGTGAGGTTGGGGGAGAATTCCCTCCAGCATAAACTGTTAATGAGATGATTCTGGAAAGCATTGATGAAAAGAGAGTAGGTCTGTGAGGCACTTCCATGGCACCCTGGTTGGATCTGTCACATGGAAAGTGTAAGTAGGGTCCCAATTGAAGGCTGAGTCTTAATGACTCTGAAATCACTGTTTGATTGAAGAGATTGACTCAACCATGTAATCAACATTGATTGGCTGAAGATACAGGTGCTAGCCAAACACTACAAGTGATCTCCGCCAAACTAGCCCGGGAGACGTGTTAAGCACTCGTCCCCAGCCAGTAGTGACATTGGGCCAGGGCGGGTATTCTTACCCGGGGCTTGAAGGAGGCTGCTTGCCTTCCAATGGGTGTTCAGCATCTTTGTTGTAGCCTGGCGGCACCATAGCACCATCACTCCTCCATTCTCTTGCAAAACCCCCTTTTCCTTCAGGCCTGATACCAGCTGAATGCCCCCACCTGTTCAGGCTGTAGTGGCATGTCAGGTGTGCCTTAGCCGCAGGGACCAGGCAGACAAGTTCCAGGCCAGTGTCAAGAGGTGGACATCCTTCAGGGGGTGGGTGGTACCAGGCCTCTGTATGGATTGTATGGGGTTTATAAAAGCAGGCCCAGACCCCATTCTCAGAGCTTAAAATTTACGGTCATTTTCAGTCCAACGTGATCTACTCTTGGGTGGAGGGGAGCTATAAGCACAGACCCAGGGGGTCTAGGAGGACTTCCCCCAACAACTGCAGTCCAGGCTGAGGGTGGAGGAACAAGGGGAGAGGAGGATGCTCAGTAGGAGCCAAGGGCAGGAGGTGAGAGGTCAGTGCTGGGCCAGTGGCTGCCCACTGGCCACTGCAGCCCAAGTGGAAGACACCTTTGGAACTGACCCCCGCTTCTCTCTTTCGGTAGCCAACCAAGGTCAAGTCATCTCCAAGTGTAGCCGGACCAAGGCAAGCTCCCTACCCAGCCAGCGCATGATACCACCCAGAGCTGGGCTCCTTCATAGCGGTCTGAGTTCAGGAATGGCCTCACCCATCAGGCAACAGAGCCAGGAGACCATGCGCATGTTCTCACCAACCCCCTGCAGGCAGCAGGGGATTTTCAGCTTCAGCCCCCAGTTTCCCACACCTTCACAATTGGGCCACAACCCCCCGGGCAGCCTTGGCTCCATCAACCAGCACATGGGGATGCCCAATGCTGCTCCTGCAGGAGTGCCCCTGCCTAGATTCTGTCCCAGCCCCCAGGGCAGCCAGGCTCTGGGTCCTCACCAGCTCAGACAGCCCCATATATCAGGAATGTCCACCGTGCTCCACAGCACTGCCTTGGTGGTGACAGCAACATCTCTGCACACCCCAGTCTTGAGGGAGTCACCCCCGAGCCAAGCAGCTCATGGCATGCAGCAGCATTATGATACCCACGCCATCTTTACCAAGACCCTTGTGACAACCTCCCTGGGAGCCCCAGTGTTACCCTTGCAGCAGGCAGTTGTGTCCCCTAGTCAGGTGGCCCCAGAAAGCAGACCTAGCCAGAAGGCGGGTGCTGCCCCCGCCAAGCGCAGCTTCAGCCGGCTGGGCAAACGGAGTGCCAGAAAGAGCCTGGTGCAGGGCCCCGTGCCCAGACCACATGCCACCAAGTCCCTCAAGCAAGGTATGGTCAGCCTCGGGCCTGAGAGTCCCATCCAGGCCATTGAGCCACCAAGCTCTGTAGCTGCTGCTGCTGCTGACACCTCCATTGTGGCTGCCGGCCAGTCCCAGGCCAGTCCCTGTGACAGAACAGGGAACCCCTCTGAGTTGTCGTCCCAGTCCACACTGGACGATCTTATTTCAGTCCCTGAATGTTCTGTAGTGGATTTCATAGATGCTCTCATGGATTCCACCGAGAGCCCAGATGAAGACTGGATGGGCAACCTGAGGCTGATCAGTGGCACTGTAGACCAGGCTGCTGATGAGGGTGCTGAGGCCCAGAGTGCAGGTGATGTCCCCAAGAATGCTGACAAGCTTTAAATACCCTAGAAACCTCCACGTGGCCATCACCCTGGGGAGTGGTGTGAGTCCATAGCAAATTTACCACTGGCCCCACACAGCCACATGCTTATTGCCTCATTACAATTTGAGGGGCAGAAGCCCACACCCATCCCTCTCTCTACCTGTGACAAAATGGAAATCTGGTGATTTTTTTCAAGCTACCTGTACATATCTGAAAATTTTGTACATGGTTTTCCTAAACATTCATGACAGAAGTGTTTATACCGCATTTTGTGAGTTTGTAATTAAGACAATGGCTTTCGTTTCAGCAGAGTTGTGTTTATTATGTCATTGTCCGTGTGTATTCTACATTGTTCAAATACGCAGACTGTGTTGTTCACTCCAGCCATACCTTATCAAACCAGGTGGCTGAGTTGCTTACGCTTTTGATGCTGAGTTGCTTACGCTTTTGATGCAGTGGTGGATGTGACCAAGAGGTGTTGTGCAAACTGACAAATGCCAAATAGAAACTCACTTGGCCATCTATTTCCATTTCCACTAAAACTTCTATTGCCCAGTGTGATTCTTAATGTCTTTTGCAAACCTTGCAGTGTCTTCTAGCTCTTTCCTGATGAGCCTGTTACAGCACAAGCCGTTTTATCATTAAGTAGCCTGCAGAGGAATTATTTGCCAGGAGGTAGAGAGTTCTGGAGATTTGAGAGAAGCAACGAGAGAGTTTGTGAGCTGGGCATCTCTGAGGGTTCTACCCATTATCACTCAGACAGTTTGCACTACTCTAACGGGCACCTTACAGGGTGGAGGCAAGATGCTCCTGATTTAAGGCCTTTCAGTATTTGTTCTGATGTAAAGCTCTGTGGTCTGGGGGGAAAATGAGTCTGTAAACATGAATAGTTGATTTGGGTTTTGTCACTGATGTTTTCTACTTGCAGTTATCATCACGTATGTTTAAGTGTCTGTTACAGGAAACCCACACCCACTGTCCTGTAAACTTTTGTCAGTGTCCAGACTCTGTGTAATGACATTTTAATTGCCACCTGGTATTTTGCCTCTGCATTTGAAATCTGGCATCTGTTTCAAGCAAGTGTGTTTTTTTCCTTCGTTCTGTAATAAACAAGAGAAAAGTACCTCTGTGTTTTCATTCAGAGCATTCAGAGTCTACAAACCCATGTCAGTTAAGCCTGCTGGTGTCTTTGGTTCTTTCTGATGGTGCTCCCTGTCTTGGGATGCACTGAGAGGAGAGGGGCAAGAAGTTTGTGTAGCCTGCACTGCGATCCTTTCACATCACAGCACAGCAGCACATCGGTTTACGGTGTAGACCTCTTAAGATGACTGACTGCACTGGGGCCTGGGGGAAGGGGGCAGGGGGCAGGGGGAGGCTTGCTTTGAGAAGCTAGTTCTCCACCACCATCCTCTTTCCACTGAGACTGTGACAGCCAATTAAAGATCCAACGTCTCTCACGGTAAGGCATACCAACATAGGGCAGCTGGAGGTTGCGGAGACCTGGAGACTGAAATGCCATCACCTCACACAGAGGTCCAGGAAGACCCTGGTGAAGGCGTGGTCCCAGGAGAAAATGGCCTTTCTACCCTTTCCCTCCCCATCCCTTGCCCTTCCCCCAAGGTCTAAACTAAGGGCAACCCTCATATTCCTGAACACTACAGAGGGTAGAGCCTGGTGGTCTGGGATGCCGGGCCAACGGGGCGTAGGAGGTGTGCCGCCATCTTGCCCCCTTCAAGCTTGGGGCCCGTCTCTGGGGCCCCCTTCTGCCGACCCATCAATCCTGATCTGCTGCCCAATCCCTGCTTGGCCGCCTCCTCTCCCCGCCCTCCCCACCAGCAGTTGCCGGCAGCATCTTGGCTGCAGGCTGTTTCCAGCTTAAACTGCATGAAGACAAGGGCTCTTGTCACCTCACACTGTGAGGCAAGCCCCTCACCCCATTTTGAAGCAGATACTAAAGAGATGGGACCTGTGCCTCTCCCACAAGGTGCCAGGACTTGGTGTATAGGTGGCAGAGGTTGCAATGGAACCACATCTCCCCAAAGGCAGTGAGGAAGCTAGTTGGGGACCCCTTTGCACACACTATGTGCTGTAAAAGTGCAGCTGAAGCACCAGCTGGGATCACGTATAACCAAAATTGAATACACACATTTAGCCCCATAACTGGTGGGAAGAAGACCTACTCATTGTCAAGGTATAGGATGTTCCAACAGAATGACTTTGGGGGCTGAGGGATGCAGGTACAATGTGGCAGGCCTGTCCTGTCCTGTCCAGTGGAGCCTAAAATGCTCTTAAGAAGCATCTAGGGAGATGCCCCCACCCGCCACTCTCAGTGGCTGTTCAGTTCAGTTCAGTCGCTCCGTCGTGTCCAATTCTGCAACCCCATGAACCGCAGTACACCAGGCTTCCCTCTCCATCACTACCTCCCGGAGTCCACCCAAACCCATGTCCATTGTGTCAGTGATGCCATCCAACCATCTCATCCTCTGTCGTCCCCTTTTCCTCCTGCCCTCCATAGGGGTGGAGGCAGACCTCCCTAGTCTGTGGGCCAGAGGGATGGTGGAAGCAGTCAGGGCCCCAAAGCCCCAGTGCTTGGCCCACCTGCTCACACAGCCCCTCCTGCTTCCTGTAGAGCACTCCTCATAGATCTGGGGAATGGGGATGTCCTGTGAGTGTCCCGCAGCCCCAATCACGACTCCATGTCAGAGGCTTGGCCTCTGTTCCCCTTGTGTTGTTAACTCAAGTGCCCCAGTGGCGCCAGACCCCAGGCAGGCCCCGGCTGCCCCTCAGAGCTTGACTGGGACACTTGGGCCCACCTCTCTTGTCCCCTATCCCCAGTGGGGCCAGGGGTAGCAGGACCCACCTGCCCAGAGACTGTTGCTCACAGCCAACCAGTTGGGGTGTTGAAGGCCAGTCAATGCAGCAGAGCCTCCTCACTTCTGCCAGCCTTCAGAGTCCCGAAATAAAACCTGAGCTTGGACTGCTAAGCTAGGTTAACTTCCCATCCCAATCACGTATTTACCTCAAGGCTGAGCCAGTGTGGACAGCACCGCCCCCCCAGCACTTCCTGCCAACCTGACCCTGCTTGGCCTCACTGGCCCCAGCAGGCCCTTCCAGCCTGTTCCTCCTAGCGGTGGGTGTCCCAGGCTACTCCTGCCCAGAGATGGCAGCTCCCACCATTGTGCCATCGCTCAGCTGCCCTCTCTCCTGCACCCCTGCACCGTCAGCCTGTTCTCTGCTGGATTCTTCCCAAGGGGGTTGAACTGGGCCATGTGCAAAGGTCTTCACCCACCTCAGCCCGTCCAGTTGCAGTTCTGACACCTGCCGCTCCTCCCCTGACTCTCGTCAGCCCAGAGCCATCTGACTCCTGTCCTGCTCCTTCCCAAGTATGCTCGCTGGCCAAAGGGCCAACTCCCTCTCGGCCATAAACCCAATGGAAGCTTCTCGATCCTTCCAGAACGGCACTGCCCCTTGGCTCCTGGGAGTCCCCTGGAATGCTTCTTTCCCTCTGAGGTCCACTTTCTCCTGTTGCTTCCTCTCACCTGCGAGGCCTTCTTCCCTTGCTCTCTTTCCTCCAGTTTCTTCCCAGGGAGACAAACAGGTTCCTGAGCCTGCACCCAGCCTCTAAGCATCTCAGCATATTGACAGCCCAGCCACAAAGAGTGGTGTGTCTGGGCAAGAAAATGAAAGCGTTCGGATGCTGCTCGATGACCCCCACAAGGAGGGTTCGCCCTGAACCTGCTTCAGACAGCAGCTTTGGTTGGAGGCCCCTGCCCTGTGCAGGTCCTTCACTGGGAGGGCTGGGAGGACCTTGCAGGTGGGGCCTAAGGTCCCCCCACAGGGGTGCATGAAGACCTGCAATCACCAGTGGGGAGGTGCTCTCTATACACCCTGTCCCATCACCCTGCTCCCCAGCTCTGAGGCCGGGGGAAATGCTGGAGGTTGCCAGAGAGGTATGTGAGACCCCATGGCCTCCATCCTCCCTTAAAGCAGGCTCCAGCCCCTGAAGGTCCATTTCTCATCGGTCCCCCTTCAGTCTGGAAAGTCAGGGGATCTGGCAGTGGACACAGGCTTTGGGAGAAGCACAAGCCATTGGCCATTCCATGATTCAACAAGCATGCTTGTGCCAGGCACCGGCGGGTAGACAGACATGGTCCCCAGCCTAATGGAGTAAACCAGGGAGTGCATCTGTCAAGGTCATCCACAGGAATAATACCAGGAGATTATGAGTGTGTGTGTGTGTGTGTGTGTGTGTGTGTGTGTGTGTGTTCTCCAAAGAAACAAAACCAATAGGAGATTGATTTACCATAAAGAATCAGCCTACACACTTATGGAAGTTGAGAAGTCTCATGATCTCTGGTCTGGGGCCCCAGGAAAGCCTATGGTGTCGTTCGTAAGACTGGAGAACCAAGGGAGCCAATGGTGTAAATCCCAGTCTGAGGTCTGAAGTCCACAGGACAAGCTATCAGGGTGTCCAGCTATTAGGCTGCAAACGGGCAGGAGCTGGCACTGCAATCCACAGACTGAATTTTCTCTTCCTCAGGACAACCTCAGCTTTGTCCTTAAGGCCTTTCAGTGTGGCTGAGGCCACACTATTCAGGATATTCTCTTTTACTTCACATCAGCTGACAGTAGATGTTCACCACATTTCCACAGTACTTTCACAGCAGCACATCAGTATTTGATTAAATAACTGGCCCATGTAGCCTAGCCAGGTTGACAGGGGGACAGATGATTGACACATTAGCAAAGACAATCAGAACAAATTGCATTAACATCCACAAAGGAAACACAAAAGGGGCAGAGAGTGAGAGGCCCTAGTGTGGTGGGGCTTGTGGGGACACTCAGGCAAGAGTGATTTCACTCTCAGGGAGTGAAATCTGAGCTGAGATGAAAGGATGAGAGGGAAAGAGTTTGGGCAAGGATGTTCCTGGCAGAGGAAAGAGCACATACCAATTTGGGGAGAAAGGGGAAAAAAGTCAGTGGTTAGGGCCCAGTGAGCTAGGCGGGGAGGGAAGAG